ATGTCCTCGTGGAGAAGACGGTTTGAAGACCCCCTGGCTGATCGCAAAGCCCGTGAAAGAATAACAACGATGAGGCAGGGCAAACGCCCAGTGGCTGAGTATACACAAGAATTCCAAGCCATTGCCAGCAAACTGAATTGGCCAGAAGACATCCTCCTTGGCCGTTTCAAAGACGGACTAAACTATGATCTATATGATGCTTGCCTGCCCCGAGGAGACCCACATCGACTTGAGGAATGGTACGTCTTGGCAGAGGAAGCAGAGATCGACATATTGAAGAGGCATCGCCGAGGAAAACAATGGAGCCGCCCCCCGCCTGAGCTGACACACCAACCGGTGAAATCATCGGATACAGCCAAGAAGCAGATGGGGGTTTCAAGTGCGGAAGAGAAGGGCATCGAGCTGTAGAATGCCGCTCAAAGGCCCCCCAGCACAACCCAGACAGATCCCCAATCAACCAACCCAGAGGGTATTCAGCTAAGCCAAAAGAAACAGCCATGAAAATGATGGAAATTGCAGAAAACCCCACCTCTGCTCACCAAGGGGAAAGAACTCCAGCCTACACCACAGGGACGGTGGATGCCTCAGATGACAGCTCGGAAGGCGAACCCCTGGTAAGGGGACGCATCACACCCATCTTCAAAACAGTGACTATATTAATCCCCCCCATGCCCGAAGCTGTGAAGGTGAAAGCCTTAATAGACTCTGGCTGTACCCGCTGCCTCATTAGCCCAACACTAGTGGGGAATCTGGGCATCCCATCCAGGAGACTGGAACAACCAATCTCATTTGGCAAGCTAGATGGATCCATAGCAGGGGGGGTGCCAGCTACCCTAGCCACTTTGCCAATACATCTCTCCCTGGGCAACCATGAAGAGGACTGAACGTTGGTGGTGACCCCAGGTATGGAATGCCCAATGATTCTAGGGATGGAATGGTTGAAAAAATGGAACCCCTGGGTAAATTGGAGGACGACAGAAATCAAATTCCCGAAGGGGGACCCTATGGACTTAAAACCCCAAGAGAGGATACCAGAATCAAGAATAGAAAAAGCATCCATAGGAGAGGAAAAAAGATTAACAGAAATACCAGAGGAATATAGGGACCTTGCTGAAGTCTTCAGTGAGGAGAGGGCGAATGAGCTTCCCCCCCAACGACCCACAGACTGTACCATTGAATTCAAGCCTGGGGCAAAACTCCCGAAGCCCAGATTATACTCCATGAGCCCAAAGGAGAAGGAGGAAATGGAAAGATTTATAAAAAAAAACCTGGAGAGAGGTTTCATTGACCCAGCTAAGCCTACAGTGGCTGCCCCGGTCCTTTTTAGAGAGAAGAAGGATGGCTCTTTACGTTTATGCGTGGATTATAGGGCCCTGAACACAATCAGTGAAAGCAACCTATACCCGATGCCCCTCATGAAAGACATGCTGTCACACCTATCGAAAGGGAAAATTTTTTCTAAACTAGACTTAAGGGAAGCTTACTATCGCGTGAGAATCAAGGAAGGGGACGAATGGAAGACTGCATTTAACTGCCCCATGGGGGGCTATCAATTCAAAGTCTTGCCATTTGGATTACAAGGGGGCCCTGCAGTCTTTATGCAATTAATCAATGACGTTCTAAGGGAGCACCTGTTTAAGGGGTCCTTGTTTACTTGGACAACATTCTTATCTTTACCGAAACAAAAGAAGAACACGTCAAACTTGTCAGAGCGGTTTTAAAGAAGCTGCGAGCCGCTCACCTATATGCCAAACTATCAAAATGCGAATTCCACCAGGAAAGGATAGACTACCTAGGCTATCGCATATCCCCACAGGGCATTGAAATGGACCCAGAGAAGGTCAGAGCAGTATTAGAATGGGCACCACCCCGCACAAGAAAGCAACTACAAAGTTTCCTGGGCTTTGCAAATTTTTACCGCCAATTCATCCCCTCATTTGCACAGATAGCCTTGCCCCTCACCAACTTACTAAAAACGAAGGGAACATCCTCAGTAAAACCTAGCCAGCCACTAACATGGACAATGGAGTGCCAAGCAGCGTTTGAGAGACTAAAGAGACTTTTTTCTGCCGAACCAGTACTAAGGCACCCAGATATGGACAAGCCCTTCATAATACAGGCAGATGCAAGTGATGTGGCAGTGGGGGCTGTGCTATTACAAGAAAATGATGATGCAGTATTGCAACCCTGTGCATATACATCTAAGAAACTCACGGAAACAGAACAGCGCTGGCCCGTATGGGAGAAGGAGGCTTATGGGATACGTTGGGCATTACTCACGTGGCGACAGTTCCTGGAAGGCAACAAAATCCCCTTCCAGGTATGGACTGATCACAAAAATTTAGAAGCCCTGAAAACTTCCAGGAAACTCAATCCCAAACAAGCCCGCTGGTCCCAGCATTTTCACCAATTCCAATTTAAGCTCAAACATTTACCAGGAAGAAAGAACTTCCTGGCAGATGCACTATCTCGCATGCCCCAATATAACAGCGCACGAACCACAGACTCTAGACCAATAATGGCAGAATCACAACTGGCAGCGCCAGTAACCACAAGAACCCAAGCCAAAATAAAACCACAACTGGACAGCCAAACTGGGATTGAATTCAGAAAAAGTTTGGAAACAGATGATTGGTTCCAGAAAAACAAACATGTGTGCACAATGAGAGACGGATTGCCTTGGGTAGGGGAAAAGTTATATATACCAACAACTCAAAGACTAACTTTCATGCAACTTTGCCATGACACAAAATCAGCAGGGCATTTTGGATTTGTAAAAACTTTACACTTAATTAAACGGCAATTTTGGTGGCCATCAATAAAAAAAGGACATAGAAAGTTATGTTGCCAGCTGCCCAACCTGTGCATCAGCAAAGAGGTTGCAAGGGAAATCGCCAGGGCTGTTACAACCAGTGGCAAGTCCCTCAGCCCCCTGGAGGGAAATAGCCATGGATTTTATAGTGGAATTGCCTGAAAGCAATGGGAATACTGTTATCTGGACAGTCACGGACCTATTTTCCAAACAGGTGCACTTTATCCCTTGCCAAAAAATTCCCACTGCAAAGGCCTTAGCAAAACTTTTTATCCAGCACATTTACAGATTGCACGGGGCACCCCAACGCATCATCTCTGATAGGGGAGTGCAATTTACGTCTACATTTTGGAAGGAATTTTTATCCCTCTTAGGGACCACTCAGGGACTGACATCTAGCCATCACCCTCAGACAGATGGACAAGCGGAACGCTGCCAGTCGGTACTTGAGCAATATTTGAGATGTTTTTTAAATTTCCAACAGAGTGATTGGACGGACTTACTTCCTTTTGCAGAAGTTGCCTACAATAATGCAGTCCACTCCAGCACAGGCTACACTCCTTTTCAAATAGCCAACGGCCAAAGTTTCAACCCTATGCCAGAGTTAACCCCAAAAGAACCAACGATCCCTTCACTGAAAGAATGGATGGAAAGCCTACAAAACACCTGGCCAATAGTCAGAAAATCACTAGATGAAGCTAGGCGGGCATACAAAGCACAAGCCGATAAAAAAAGGGTTGAGCCTACACCATTCATTATAGGAGAAATGGTGTACTTATCTACAAAATACCTAAAGTCCCTACAGCCCTGTAAAAAACTTGGACCAAAATATATAGGACCTTTTCCAATTAAAAGGATCATAAATCCAGTAACAGTAGAATTAGAATTACCCAAAAACCTCAGGCAAATACACCCAGTTTTTCATTGCAGCTTGCTGAAAAGAGAGCATCAGTCACCTCTACGGCCAAAAATCCCCCCCCCACCACCTCCAATCATGGTGGAGGGGGAACAACACTTCGAAATAAAAGAGATCCTTGACTCTAGGAGATATCGTGGAACAACTCAGTACCTAGTTGCCTGGAAACACCTCCCTGCCTCACAAAATGAGTGGGTCCATAAACGTCACGTCAGAGCCCCGAAGCTATTGAAGAAGTTTCACACAGAGTATCCTAACAAGCCTAACTAAATTTTTTACTTGTGTTTTCTTTCAGGTGGATCTCTCTTATTGTTAAGAGGGGCCGGATGTCAGAATCCAATTATATTTCATCTTTAATTATCAAACATAGAAACTCCCAATTCTGCCTTCTCTGGATTCTGCCATAAGAGGGAGAAAAGGGGGAGAGCAAAGGGGCTTTATGGCCCTCACTTCCTTCAGCACACTTCAAAGGACTGAATGTGTGTTTATTGTGGCCTCTAAGCTTTAACATATCAAAGAAGAGTAATTGCCTTTCATGTAGTTATCTGAAGTCTCCATCCAGACGGAAGAAGAAAGGGGATGGAATTGTGATACTTGAAACTATCACTGGAAGGGGGGTTGATTGGGTGGGACTACTGGGGAACCCCTTAAAACCTTGAATGGAAGAGCTTGAACCCCAAGTCCTGTCTAGCATGCCTGCAACCATTTTCTCTTAATAAAGGATTCCTGTTGGAAGAGCTATTCCAAGAGTTCTGTCTTCTTAAGATGCAAAGTGGGGTGGGTCCTTACAGAATCTATTCTGAATCACTATCCAGACTCAGTTTGCTCTTACAAAGTAATGTCAAAAACAGATGTGCCCAAACTCTGTGCTTCATTCACCTGAATTAAGGGCAGAACACATAGTGAATGAAAGGGATCAGTGCATTTTAATAAAGTGGTAAATGTATGCCAAAAAAAAAAAAGAATTATTTCGAGAGATATGTTTTTTGATGCAGACAAAATCTTAGCCTTGAAACAACTATACTTATGAAGAACTCTATAACAAAGTAAAAATTATTTATCAAGTAAAGTGCAAGATGATTTGTTTATGGTCTTTGTGGCTAAATGTGTTAAAGGTCCACTAAACCTGCTATTCTGCTTTTACTAATTTGAATTACTGTCAGCTGCTGAAAAGAAGTGGGTTTGGGGAACCCAGGAACTGATTTGGGTGATTATCAGGTACATAGCATCACTCCAAACCCCCTCTTTCAACCTCCCATGTGTATTTTTCTCTCCTTCAGATAATGACACTATCTATTGGGTGGACATGGGTATGAGCACAATCAGTCGAGCCAAACGGGACCAGACCTGGAGAGAGGATGTCGTGACCAATGGCATTGGCCGAGTGGAAGGGATTGCTGTGGACTGGATTGCAGGTGTGGCTGCGCTGCGTAGATGAGCAAGCAACAGCAACTGAGTGTGGGAAGGAAACCCTCCTTCTCACAGGAAACAAGGAAGGAGCAATCAATTAAGTCCTAACCTTGTATCTCTTTCCCTCCAGGAAACATTTATTGGACAGACCAGGGCTTTGATGTCATTGAAGTCGCCAGGCTCAACGGTTCATTCCGCTATGTAGTGATTTCACAGGGATTGGATAAGCCACGTGCCATTACAGTACACCCAGAGAAAGGGTAAGATTCCTTTTCATTGAGTGCAATTTCTTAGACTGGTCATAATGGGAACAGGTTGGGAGTATTTGAGGCATTGGAACAATGATGGATTGGAAATGGGGAAAGGCAAGACTCCCAGTTCCGGGAATAGTAATCCCAATCCTTTAAAGGCCATCCAATTGGAAAAGGCTATTCCTAGATTTTGCATGGGTTAACTTTTTGTTTTATTCCTTTATTTTTTTTCCTATCATTAAAAATTACAATCCAGTGGCAACTTTGGCTGAACATGTGATTTGTTAACTGTCCTGGCACTGTCTTGTGTCCGCTTTTTCAGATACCTTTTTTGGACAGAGTGGGGCCAGTACCCTCGTATTGAACGTTCTCGGCTGGATGGAACAGAGCGTGTGGTCCTCATCAACAGCAGCATCAGCTGGCCCAATGGGATTTCTGTCGATTATGAAGTAAGATCCTGAGGCTGTGGGCATTAGACACAATGATTCCTGTCTGTCCAACCAAAAATCATAGTTGAAAAATGAATGTTGAGTGGCACATTTAGCATCTTAGGAATGCCTTGCCCCGTTGCACCCTTAGAATAACAGCAAATAAATAGGATTATGTGCTTTAACGCAGAAACATAATTCAGCGTCATGGTAAGTTAAAATTCGTACGCGTGATAAGCCTGAATTATGCAATCCAGCAAAATCCAGTTTTGTGCAACGCATTTGTTTGTGTTAAGAAAAGGAACCCAGCAATGTCACTTGCTCAGCTGGGAGTCCTTCTCAGTTCTGTCTCAACTTCTGACCTTTCATGGCTTTAAACAATCCCTCTTCCACTGGAGTAACAGCAGTTTATATGCCCATTTATTTACTTGCTGGGGTATGATTCGAGCTGAGAATAGGGGAAATTATACATGGTTGGGAACTGATTGCCTGCATTTTACATTCACTCTGGTATCCTCAGTTGTGTTTTATAATTTACAAGATGGATTGTCATCTGGATCTCTTTTTAGGATGGGAAACTTTACTGGTGTGATGCTCGGACAGATAAGATTGAACGCATAGACCTAGAGACTGGCGATAAGAGGGAGGTTGTCCTATCCAGTAACAACATGGATATGTTCTCGGTATCTGTCTTTGAGGATTATGTCTACTGGAGTGACAGGTTTGTATCTCAGTGTTGTTTGTCATGTCTGGAAGTGTTTTGCAAGCAACTACATTTCATTCGTGTTCAGACAGAGCTAACTTCATTACGGATTTAGATTGTTACATCTTTCTCAACCCTCTTCCATGCAAACCTATTCAGTCTTTTGAAGGGAAAATATGCTGAGTTTTATGGATATGCATGTGTTTGTGTCAATTAGATCTGCTAATTGAGGTGAAGTATGGATGGATTATCCATAATATCTGTGTGTAAGAAAATTAATATATATCAGTATGCATGCCTGTTGAATCATGTATATGAACTGAAGATTTTGTGTCAGAGTGTTATAAACAATAGTTTCCTCATTGTATTTTGCTGTATAAGAGCTATGCTGGCATAGTAGAATATCTCATAATTGCATCTTTAACTTTGCCCCCTTCTAGGACTCACGCAAATGGTTCCATTAAAAGGGGCAGCAAGGACAACGCAACAGAAATTGTGTCTCTACGCACAGGAATAGGAGTACAGCTGAAGGACATCAAGGTGTTCAACAGAGACAGGCAAAAGGGTAGGTGAAAAAGCCTATGAGTGGTACTATGAGGGATTGAGTGGTACTATGAGCAATGAGGGTGGAGTCAGTTACCCGAGTTAAAAAGCCTCCAGAGACATAGAAACGGGCTGTACACTAACCCTGATCCTAGCTAATTTTTCTTATGTTCCTTTTCTACAGGTACCAATGTGTGCGCGCAGAATAATGGTGACTGTCAGCAATTGTGTCTGTATCGAGGAGCAGGTCAGCGGACATGTGCCTGTGCCCATGGAATGCTCGCTGAGGACGGCGTAAGCTGCCGTGACTACGATGGGTACCTGCTCTATTCAGAACGGACCATTCTCAAAAGTATCCACTTATCCGATGAGAACAATCTCAACGCACCCATTAAGCCATTTGAAGACAGTGAGCACATGAAAAACGTCATCGCCTTGGCCTTTGATTACCGCCACGGCAGCAAGGGCAGCAACCGCATATTCTACAGTGACATTCATTTTGGCAATATCCAGCAAATCAATGATGATGGAACTGGGCGAAGAACTCTAGTTGAAAGTAAGTTACTTTGGGTGTTCCCTCCCACCCTTTATTTTCTGGCTGCTTCCACAAAAGCAGCAATCTGATTTGAGGCAAACTCTAGAACTAAATGTGCCAGAACAGCAATTACAGGGGAAGATTATTTTTCTGTGGGTTGAGGGATCTACAGGATAAGGGAGCGTCATATTTCTAGTGCTGCGATATTGAAACAGCCCATCTTTGTTAAAAGCCAAAAGTCCAAGGTATTAAATGACTATTGTAAGTCTCTGCATTCAGGAGAATTTATAAAGGCTAGTTCACTGGATTTTCTTTCAGTAGTTGGAATGTTTCCTGAAATAGGTGTATCTGAGGATATAATTGTGCAACTTTCCTACTGACTGATGGAATTTTTGTCCAGCTTATGTCCATTTTTGACTGTTTAAACTTCACCGAGATTGTTGCGCCTGCAGATCAATTCACTAACGGAAGGAGGGGAAGGGGGAAGGAAGCTGCTGCAGTTCAGCCATAGGAAGAGCGTAGGATGAATGAAGTGGGTCCATATATGGAACAACTGATCTCAGATAATTAATGTCCAAACCAAATATGTATGCTTGGTGTAGATTCACCATGAAACATAGCTGTTTTGCTTTGGATAAAGACCATAATGAGATTCAGGTTTTGGGGGTAAAGGAGGAACAGGAAAAGCCAGGAAAACAGCAGGTCAGGGAAAATTTGGGAGTTCAGCCAGTGGGATATGCATCTTTGGGATACCAGCAATGGTGTAGTTTAGGGGAAGGAAAGAAAGGGCTAAAAAGAACAGGTTAGTGGGCCAGTGAAATATGCTCCTGGCAGCTGTTTAGGAGAAAGGGAAATGGCAACTCTCATCAGCCTTGCCTTAGCTGTCTTATAAAATCACCCCAGGATTATGGCAGGTTTTGTTACGGCCTAAACAAATATATTCCCAGTTTTGTTCTGTGCTAAAGCACAGCCTATCTAGAATGGTTTATCAATACTTCTGGAATGTAGTGTGTTGTTCATGAAGACCATAGGGCACAACTGGAAATGGATTACATCACTCCACCGTCAGGGACATTTCATGAGGCAAAAACCTGGCCACAGCTTGTTTTGGCTGCATTTGTATCATCATCCTAGCAGATCGGTTTTAATGATTTGTTCAAAATGCGCAAAAATAATCCATATATTGAGATGAAGTAGACATCTGTAATTTGTCTCAAAATAACTTCCTCTTCTTCCTCTTGTGTTTATCACTAACAATGGGCTGCAGGCTACTCTATTGAATTAAAACTTTCTTTAATTCTGCCCTTCTGACAACAGTTCTGATCTTATTCTCATCTGAATTAAATTAGTGGATAATACGCAGATTTAGATACTTTGACCTAAAAGTTGGAGAGAAGGTATACACATTCCTTAACTCATTATGTGGATTACATTCTGATTTCTTTCCCAATATGCAAAAATTCCTTATGCATTCTCTACTAAAAATGCGCAGTGTCTGTCACCATAGAAACCATTGCAACAATTTCAAAAACAATGGAATGTGTGAATAAAATGTGACCTTCTTCCAAAGTGTTTGGGGCTTGTTGCTTTTCTCCCCAGAGAACAAATATTACCTGGAGGAGGAGGTGAGCGGTGAAGCCTCCTATTTCTTTTGATGTTTTGTCTGCTTGGAGAGAAGAAAGCATGCCTATACTTTGGGGGCTTTTTGACAGCTGCTAAAAATCAGACTGCTCTTGACTAAGAGTTGCCAAATAATTTTCCATCGGGGAAAAGAATTAAACGGTATAGCGATACTTACTTGTCTCCAGGAATATTTAGGCACTGCAAGAGACGTAGAATTACGGTATCTGCATTCCACATCTCCTCCAGATGACATTTCTTATAAATACAATGTATGATACGATGTTATCATGCAATATTACGTTCTCCTTTGTTCTCAAACCATTGGCTGGAGCAGAGAAAGAGACAGGAAGAATACCTGTCCTATCCTGCTTCTTTCATTTGTGACGTCTGGTTTCATCTTTAGAGTAGACACTGAAATGACAATAAGATAACTTATTGCTCTTTTGCAAGGAAAAGCTTTTCAACGTTCAGACAATACCCTGGTTCCCAACTTCCTGCATTTGAACAGAAGAGATTTCCATTCATGTTCATCAAACATGCCTTTTTTGTTCTGTTCTTCTCTTTGCCTTTCCAAATACCATGAAGTCAATTGCTGTAGAAGTAAGGGAGATATTATGAAGTAACTCTCTTTCATATGTAATCAAAGAGGCAAATTAGAATATAATATGCAGAGAAAACGCAACAACCAAGAATTAGTTTCTAGTATGCATCTTTATTTAATTATATATGATTTGAAAAAATGATGATGGCGATAATGTAATTGTGATCTATAACAAACATTCTGAAATCAGTATTAGGATCAAAGTCATACAATATGTGCAAATTTTTTAGTTTCCCATAACTTTTCAACAGATAAGATAGAGGTGGAAGAGTAAGCTCTTCAGCAGCATTTACAACCATAGCAAAGATCTGAATTGTAAGATGTAATTTTTATAATGAAATTATTATAAAAATGTTAACATAATTATGAACGTGAAAACTTGCTCCTAATTCCCATTTTCCCTGTTTAATATTAATTAGTTCCTCCTAAAGCTATTAATACGTATGTTACAAGTTTTTAAGTGAACACTTATAGTTTTGTATCTATGGCCCTATTAATTTCAATTACTTCAGCACATAACATTTGCTTCATCGTCTATGGGAGAAAGCAGAATCCTATTTAAATGCTAGACAAGGGTACAGTATAGACAAGGGTACAATATAGTTCACGTTCTTCCTGAGCTAAAAGGTCCATATGAGGCCTAAATGGAAAACCTTTATGTAAAATTGAAGTTTTGTAAAAAAAAATGTATGAAGTAAATTGTTACTGTCATATAGGAGGACAGCAGACTGACAGTGTCCCTTACCTGAATATTAGGTGGTTGATACCATGCTTCTACAATTACATTACAACTGATAGCTGCAGTAGTCAACGGCCAAGCACTGAAAGCCCTTCTTGATACAGATGCATCTGTAGTTTAATCTAATGTACTCTTATTTTCCCAAGGTGCATCTCTCAACAGATATTTACTTTAGGGCTGTGTACTAAGGTAAATCCAGGTTTTATGACCATGACTAAGATTCCAGTGGAAGGCGGGGTCGGGGAGAGGGGAACGAGCCTTTTTGTCTGGGTAAGATGACCTCTGAATTGCTTTTTGACATTATCCTGGGACAAGGCTTTCCCAGTCTGAGGGGGTTCTTCCACACGGCTTTTATTCCTCAAACATGATTCCAGACCAAATGATTGTGGAATGAACTGCCTGATCTCCAGGGAATTCTGGATGAGGCCCATGGAAAGATGACTAGAAGGTTCAACACCCAAAAGTAAAAAGATGAGCAGACTCTGTATATCAGGGGTGTCAAACTCAATTTCATTGAGGGCCACATCAGCATTGTGGTTGCTCTCAGAGGGCCGGGTAGGTGTGGCCAGGGTGGGTGTGGCCTACTGGGTGGGCATGGCCAGCTCTACATCATTCGCGTCAAGGGTGCCTGTGGGGGCCTGGGCAAGAGTAGGATAGATCTGAGGGTCTCTGGCAGAAGGGAGTGGGACCAGGGCAAGTGCCAAGGCATGGTCCACTGGAGGAGCCTCACTGTTCCTCTCAGGCCATGAGAGGGGGGGGGGCTTATGGAGCTAACACTGAGTGCGTTTCAGCATAGATGGCCACCACAAAATTGTACATTGGCTCCCGGCTGGCCTGGACCAGGGCCAAGGCAGAGGGGGCCGTTCCCTCACTGTTTCTAGGATGGCTTTGCGGGCCACATGAAACCACTTTGCGGGCCGCAATCGGCCCCCGGGCCTTGTGTTTAACATGGGAAAGGAATGGAATCTGAGTGGAAGCTCTCTTGAAAATATGAGAACCCTAGGCACTTGATTCCCTTATATAGAGTATATATTCCAAACTGAAGAGTCTTTTGCCTGGGGAAAAATGATTACTAATGGCATGCTGTAAGAATCTCGTAAACATAGCCCTAGATTACAGTGACTTTCACAGAACATAGATCATGAATGAGAATCAGCCACACCGTACTCTGGTATTAGTATACCTATATCCATATTGCTTGTGTCTTTTTGTGGCCGGGAATATATGCTGATCCTTTGCCAGTTTGGCATTTGTGTTGAATGCCAAAAATTGAATTTCCTCAAAAGAAGTGAAGGAAGCTCAGTTGGTCCTTCTGCTTGTTTAATTGTATCTTCTGCAAAACGGCTGTGGGCATGCATACTACACTTGTTAGAAAACTATCATTGGAGTAATAGGATTATTCCTATTATTCCAGAATCTTCAGGAGTTTGCCCTCAGGATGGTTACCAAGTAGATAATAAGCCTTGGTCGAACTATTCTTCAGGGTTGAATCCCTATTAAAGCAAAAGATCTCACTAGGCCAGGGGTAGGCAATCTTGGCTCTTTTATGACTCATGGACTTCAATTCTGGGAGTTGAAGTCCACAAGTCATAAAAGAGCCAAGGTTGCCTACCCCTGCACTAGGCAAACCTAGATCAATTGTACTGGGGGGGGGGGGAGAAAGCGCTCAAAACCTGATTTGACTAATTGTGATTACTAGCCTGAACGCAATATCAGAAAAGATAAGAAAGAGCTTAGAAAAAAATGAGTTGAGTATCTCAGAACAAGAATATAGAAGGGACAGTTGAGAAGCAGAGTAAATTAAGCAATAAATATCTTTCTGAGTTCAAATTCTATAATTTGAATTAGGAATCAAGGTAATCAGAACTTTCCCTTACCACTGCTAGACCGGTGGTTTGGAAAGGATTCAAGCCAATGGATGTTGAAGGGAACATGTCAGAGACTGGGATAAGTGACTCCCTTTCTTGTCTGTGGAGATTCTCAATCTTGAATCCCATTCTTCTTGGTTTATTTGGGAAGTTCCAAAGGCCTCTATTTCTTTTTGAGTTGCTGTGTGGCTAACAAGTCAGATTATCCTTTCAGATGGTCAGGGGAAATAAGGGAAGGAAGGCCAAGCCACTTACAAGCCACTTTTAAGTTATATATGTTTATGAGTATAGTGTTAGACTAGATGTGAGAGCTGGCTTTAGAGAACATTCAGCAAATCTGTTAAAAAGTGTATCCTGAGCATTAAGCTCAGGCTGAATTTGTTAAACAGGTGAAAGAAAGAAAAAAGTAATCACAGCTTACTGCTTCATATACAGACAAGCAACATGGTGCTAAAATCCTTCCAGATAAATGTGTGATTTGACAGCTTTGACATTTGTACATTTTTGTTAATTACAAGACTTTGCAGGTCATTTTGCCATACATGTATTAATGTCTTGCGCATTAATACATCTGCTGTTTCCCAGAAAACATTTCTGGCAATATAAATTAATAAGTTGGTACTCGGGCCAATCAGTAATGTCAATTCCCACTACAGCCAGAAATATTGCAAGAATAATAGTTCAAGTGGAAAAAGATAATTTCAGAAGTTCAAGCTTGGGGAATTCTAGGTGAAGTATTTTCCAATTTAATTGAACACCAGGCATGCATTGTTCTTCCTTTTTCTTCCTCATACCGCAGAGAAAGCTTTTTAACCTTATTAAGAAAAAGAATGGAGCTTAGTAATGGAACTGAAATGATATTTTCATTAAATCATTGTTAAGAGCAAAGCCATTTGTGCTTAGTTTCCTTAAAAATAAAAATGTAGGTCAAGTTTGTTTTTAATTTGAATTATGAGTTGATTTTTTTTTTTTGTTAAAAGGGAGTAAGGGAATATGAGGTGTAAGATTTTCTAAAAACTAAAAAGATGTGATGGTGAAAGGTTTGGGAACCTCCTCCTGGGTGTGGCATAAGTGGTGGTTAGGTGCTTTCAAGAATTATCTTTGGGTAATTCTTTGGGTGTTTCTTCATCTCACTGGATACAAGCACAGAGTGATCCAGCTGCCTACCAAGCAAGTGGATTGCTAAATATGAGCACTGCCCAAAGATTAAGTCTGAGAGGTTTCCTTGAGGTATAAAAAATTAGAGCCACAGAACAGAACGTTGCTTCTAGCAGCTCGTGCATGTAACAAAATTTTGGGGATGTCTTGAGAAAGACATGGTCTCATATTTCTCTATTTATTATTTATTCTGTTAATTTTGCATTTTTCTCTCCTGAGTTTGTCCTGCTTCCAGCAAAACAAATCCCCCTTCTTTTCTTGCATATTGGATTTTATGTCTAAATTATGGCAATGGTTTTAATGAGATTTAAAACCCTCCTCTGCTCATAGACATTGCTGGCTGCTGGCAAGGAAGGAAATCAAGCTCGTACCCAGCGTGTCTTATTTGCTTTTCAAACAGTGGCTTGGGGCTTACCAGGAGGGTGCTTCATTTCATTCGGAGATGAGCCAATTAGTTTCCTTCTGTGTATTAACTTGAGGGAGGAGGGTTGTGATGCCCAGATATAGGCATTCCTAGATGGAAAACTGCCAAGGGACTTGGGCAAGTGTTGTTTCTGCTCCATTAATCAGTCAGTCCGGGGAAAAGAAACATGGGAGATGAGTTGATCTCTTGATATGGGGGAACTGCAGCACCTCTCTCACCTTTTGCCATCCTGACCAGACCTCACTTTCAGCAACAGCTAGATGGCCACAGGTTCCCCATCTGATGTTTGTTTATTTCTTAGATTTATTTGCTGCCCGTCTTGTTTCAAAGCGAGGCTTATAGCATTCAAAGGCATTAAAAAGGATAAGGGATAAATACTTCAAAAATGATAAAAATGGAATTGCAAAGATAAAGTTATAGTTAAAAGATGGGGAGGGAGGGAGCAGGATGCAAAGGTGGGGTGGGGGAGGTGGGATTGCCTGTTAATCCGTCAACCACCTCCAGCATGGTGCTCTCCCATTGGGGGCCCAAGCCAATTGGCAGAGCCAGGTCTTCAGGCTCTTGCAGAAGGTCAGGAGGGTGGGAGCCTATCTTACCTCAAGGGCCAAAGTGTTTCAAAAGGGTAAGAGCCATGGTGAGATGGCTCCTCAACTAACCTCCACCCATGCCGTGCAGAGATTTAAAGGTTATAACCAACACCTTGAATTGTAACTGGGAGCAAACCAGCAGCCAGTGCAGCTCACAGAACGGTGATGTGACCACAGGGGTCACAGGAACGGTTCTACCTATAAGAAATGGTAGTAAGATTTTTGGGACTTGAATTAGATTTGGGGGTCAGTCAATTATTAGGAAGGACCATTACTGCAGTATTATTTGGTCTTGAATTGAGAAGCAGGCCTTCCGCCTCTCCTGCCCCATAATTTTTTTTCATGCGGATGTCTGCCCATGAAAATACAATAATTTTCTCCAAGTGGCACCAAAGTGCTTTTGCAATGACCAGCCTGTTAACTGGACCAGGGCTATGGTGGGTATACTTTGGTAAAAGGGTGCGTTGGCGCAACTTAGGGCATCTGTGAAATATGGAGAAAGGTACATATACTGCATGCTGAAGGTGTCATCCCCATGATGCCTTTGACTACAATAATACAGGGAAAAGGCCAACAATTATACAATCCTTTCCTTGAGGCATTTTTCAATTACCAGAGAAACACCAAAGAGATACAAAAAAATTTATGGCAATTTTTAAATTGCATTTTTTTAAAAAAAAAAAAAGTTCAAATGAGATTAGTAATTTATTTGTGCTAAAAATATTTGGTAAATCAATAAAAGGCAAGCTAGCAAGTTCTGTTTGTGGCAGTTGATTTAGTAAGTAATTTGTCAGAAGAAAAGCCATATTAAAGTGCCAGAATTTGTTTTGAGGGTTGACTAAGCCCCAGACCAATATCATATATTCAGTATGTTGATATATCTGTCAGGAATGCTGTGTATTTTCTTGTAAAATAAATATATAAGATGCATAGAACAGATTACATATTTATTTATTAATCTGTGTAGTGAGATCTCTAAATTGTTATCGGGGTGTTGTAGCTGCTTTTTTGACATACTTCTCTCTTTCATCCAAAATCTCTGGAATCTATCCTGCTATAAATTTGGGAGGATTTTGTGCTCCACATTTTGAAACTCATTGAAAATTGCTTATGAAGATAGCTTTCTTTATCTTCTCTATTACTTTTGAAGAATGGGAGAAATCAGGTGTAAGTCTATGATGGTATTTCAACCCCACATTTATTTTAGATGCAAGGCAGAAAGAAGCAGCAACAAATAATCAGAATCCTCTCTGAGGAGTCAGGGGCATATAATTAGAAAGGCATAGTTAGAAGCTTCTCAAGATGGGGACAAAACTAAATCAGGTTTTTTGAACCAAGCAACAGGCCCATGGAAAAGGTCTCTTTTCTCAATTTGTTAAAATCAGATGGGGCAGCTTTCACGGTGGCAGGCAATACAGACAGTGCTTTTTAAATCTTTTTTTCTTCTGTTTTGTTCGGTCAGTTGACTTATTTGATTGTAGACACTGGCTGTGAGGCAATATCAGGACAAAATAAGAAAGAGGCTGAGAATAACAAGGAGTAGCTCAGAACGAGAATAAAGAAGTGAGAATTGGGAACCAGGCATATCAAGCAACAAATGTATCCCATTTTCCCTTTAACAGATGTTGGTTCTGTTGAGGGATTGGCTTATCACCGAGGCTGGGACACCTTATACTGGACAAGCTACACTACTTCCACCATTACACGACATACTGTGAACCAGACGCGTATCGGAGCTTTTGAAAGAGAGACTGTGATCACTATGTCCGGAGATGACCATCCCCGAGCCTTTGTGCTAGATGAGTGTCAGAAGTAAGTTCCAGTATCCCTTGGGTGACGGAAAAACAAAACTTCAGAATCAGCTCATTCATACATTCATTCATTTATTTCCTTGTTCATTTCCCAGTTGACAGCCTTAAAATGACCTGAATCCATTCAAATAAGAATAAGCACCTTAACAACATTGTTAACCAACCATCTCCTCCTCCTCCTCCTCCTCCTCCTCCTCCTCCTCCTCCTCCTCCTCCTCCTCCTCCTCCTCCTCCTCCTCCTCCTCCTTCTTCTAAAAGATTCAACTCCCGATGAAAGGATAAGTCAGGCTCATTTTTGGGGAAGATGGTTCCAAATAAAAGTTGTCACTAATAGAGAGGTTATCTTTTCTGCTCCACAGAAAAGCAAGAATTAGTCTTGCTTTGATAAGCTTAAGGCATGAAATACGTTTGGATTTAGCAATGAACAATCTAAGCAATCCTTCAGCATATGCATTCCTTTCTCCCCGGGTCTCCAGATGAAATAGAAAATAATTTCATTTCTGCTTAGCATCATACACTTAGATGAATTGTGGCTACTTTTGATTATGCATTACTGAAAACAAGCCATCTTCAAATTATAACTTAGTGGCTTGCTCAGCCAATATAATTTAAGATTAATCATAGTTTAGGTTTGAATATAATAAACTAAGCTAAAATTCAAAGGGAATATTTACAATTTCACCTTTATAGTTGTGCTAAAAGGAGTATGGGAATGGGATACATTAATTTGAGGCCTGTGTCTGTCACTAAATCATACATCTGAATTAGCCCACTGTATGCAATTCAGGCCATAAACTTTGAAGGCCATTGTCATTGTTTAAAAAGTAATAGCAATAGCACTTATATACTGCTCCATAGTGCTTTGCAGGACTCTCTGTGCGGTTTACCACATCAGCATATTGCCCCCAACAATTTGGCTCATTATTTTACTGACCTCAGAAGGATGAGAGGCTGAGTTAACCTTGAGCCCAGTCCCAGCTGTGGACAGAGTTAGCCTGCAATACTGCATTTTAATCACTATGCCACCAGGCCTAGTGAATATACGTTCACTGGGTGAATATAAGTTAATGGCTGATTCTGCAGTTTAAAATTAAAATAAGTATAATCTCTGTTACAAACAGCCTTCATGAGTGTATCTGTCACAGTTTGGGTTCAGATTCTAAATATTGCTCAGAGTATATGAAGTTGATTACAGCAGTCAAGCCTAGATTAGTTTTGCTGTAAGCATCATATATTGTCATAGTCAGATCCTCCTTCTCTAATAAGGATGCAGGCAATATACCAGCAACTGGAGATCTAGGAAAAACCGCCTCCTTCCGCCCAGTGCCTTTGCTTTCCCTCTTTCAACTTATGTAGCACTCTTCCTCTGTAATTTGTTTTCTTCTCGCCTCCAGCCTGATGTTCTGGACCAACTGGAATGAACAACACCCCAGCATCATGCGAGCTACGCTGTCAGGTGCCAACATGATCACCATCATTGACAAGGATATCCGCACACCCAACGGTCTGGCCATTGACCACAAGACAGAGAAAATCTACTTTTCTGATGCCACCCTGGACAAGATAGAGCGATGTGAATATGATGGCTCCAAACGATATGTATGTCCCATAATTCTATCAACTGTGCTTTCCCCCCCCCCCCCCCAGAAAGCCTGTAAAACAGGCCTCCCTGCTATAATATCCTCGGGATATGTTTGGTGCTCTTTTCCATAGCTACTTCCATGAATTAATATTTTAGATCACTCGATCAAGTCCTGAAAAAGAGCCAAAGTCTGTGTATTTAATCTTTCTCAAATTTATTGTCATAGCAACAGCATGGTGGAGATAAGACTGAGAGAGA